AGTTCTGATTTTTCTGCATGTTTTATTTGGCTGAGTTTCTCCCAGAGAACAAAAACAATCCTCAAGCACATTAATTCCTCGTTAATTTTTAGAGTCGGCATGCTAAGTTTCACTGAGGTATCTCCAAACACTCTTTCCTCTTATTTGTCCTTTCTCCCACTGCCCCTCCACCACCTTGGTTCTCTTTCCTCTTCCTATGCTGCTGGTGTCTCATTCTCCTTTCTTCGCTCCCACCTTGTTCCTAAGCCCTATCTATCCTCTCTCATAATCCCCTTTGTAGATTCAGCATATGCATGTACACACATGTATACACATGTACACACACACATACTACACACATACACACAAGTGTGCATACATATACCATACACATACACATATATGTGCATGCACATATGCACATACACACACATATACACACACGTATACATTCTCTTAGATGTAAGTTCCACATATGAAAACATACTGTCTTTCTGAATTTGACTTATTCTGCTTATCATAATTTTGATGCCAGTTGCTTCCATTTTCCTGCAAACGTCATGATTTTCTTTTTCGTTGTGACTAAATAAAATTCCATTGCCAGACTGGAGAGACAGCTCAATCTGAAAAGTGCTTGCTGTGAAAGCATTAAGACCTGACTTCTATCCCCAGAACCTTTATAAAAATTCAGGGTGTGGGAGCATCGGCCTGTAATCCCAGATCATGGGAGACAAAAAGACAGGTGGCTCCTTGGAGCTCTCTGGCAAGGCAGCCTAGCCTAGCAGCAAAGCTTTAGGCCAGTTAAGAGAGTCTGTCTCCAAAGACAAGGCGAACAGCTCATGTGGATTTCCTCCCAGGACAACTGAAGCCGGCCTCTGGTTTCCTCATACATGGGCGCACACATGCATACACACTCCATTCACATCAATTTTTACAGTTCTTTATATTCTAGGTATTATTTGTTCTCTTGTCTGGTTGGTTTTTTTCTTTGTTGTTGTCTGTCTGTTTTCTATTCTGTAGGCTGACTCCTAACTTTGGTGATTATTTCTTTTACCATGCAAAAGTTTTTGTTGTTGATGTTATTTTTTAATGTTATATGATCCAAATCAGGATGCGATCATAATGACCTAAATGCAGTGATGACATTTTAGAAGTAATAGCAAGAGCAAAATCTGTGACAGAAGCAATTAATTAAGCTGCACTTCACTAAAGCTAGTTGTTTCTACCCCATGAAAACACTAGCAAAATAGTCAATAGCCTGGGCATGATGGCACAGGCCCGTGGTAACACAGCTGCTCTCTGTGCAGAGGTAGAAGGACCATGTGCTCAAGACTAACCTGGGCTATAGAGTGAGCGAAAGAGTGGTCAGGAAAACTCAGTGAAACCCTGTCTCAAGATAAAAAAGATGAGCTGGAGATATAGGTCAATGGTAGAGTTTTTATTTTGCATGCAGGAGGTCCTATGTCCAGGCCCCAACCCTGGTAGATGGAGGGAGAATGAGACAAAGAGGGAGGTATAGAGAGAATATACAAACCACAGATTTGGAAGAAAATATTTACAAAACACATATCTAATAGAATGCACTGGTACAAAGGAATAAAGGGAATATTGGGTCCGGAAGATTTAAAGTGGGTGTCAGAGCTGAGAGTAGGGTAGAGGAGGGAGTATGGGAAGGGATACATGACACTAAAGGACTTTTGAAAATGATATATGGAATCACACTACCACAGAAGCTCTTACTCTCTCTCTTCCTCATGTATGTGCATGTGCACGTGCATGTGTGCATGCACACAGAGAGACAGAGAGATAAACAGACAGAGACAGAGACAGAGACAGATTCAATGGAGTTACCCTGTAACAACAAAATTGATGCCCCTACTGGACATCAGAGGCTGACAAAAAAGTCTAGTGGCAGATATGGGTCATGATTTGGAATTATGGTCAATGAGGTCCTATAGACTCCCAGATACTACAGGCTATTGCCACTGCTCTTGGTTACTCTCCAGAACTTGGTGGTAATACCCTATTGCTGCAAACAATACATACTGGAATCATAGGACGTTATGAAATCAAACTAGTAGAGACCTGGAGGCTTTACCATTATTGGCTAGTTTTAATAATGCTAGAAGGAGCTATTGTAAGCTAGGAGAGGAGAAAAGAAATCACCAGTCACACACAAGGATGGACCCTGACAGCTACATTAATAACTGGCTTGACAGGACATGCCCATTGATGCAATAGTGTCATGAACATAGTGGGAGTAACCGACCACTTTCTGACCGGATTTAAGGCCATCTCTACAAGATGTGACTTTACCTAGCACCATTATTGGGCCAAGAACCCATGGCTAGATAACCCATAGACCAAGGGGGGAGAATCTACTGTTGTTATTCTCCTAACTGGTCAGAGTATCAAACTGGCTCCTCATGACTTACAATTACACTAATAGATCAATGCATCTGTCAACCCTCATCTGAAAAGACTTAATTAGTTATAAATGATGATTAACACAAGCACCATAACTTACAAAGGTACAGAGACAGAAGAATGCTTGGCCATAAAGGTAACACACACACACACACACACACACACACACACACATATGTGTAAAGGCCAGAGACAGTGGATGACCTACAAGGAAACATTCCTTCTGGACATAGTAGGGTAGCTACATATATGAACTCACAGTGGTTGTGAGAGCACACACAAAGCCTGTGCAAGCCCGAGACAGACCAAACTGTAGCATGGAGAGGGGAGATGGACACAGAATCCCACCCCTAGCCAAGGAGCTATTGACAACTGTTACCTTCTGGGAGAGGGAGAGATAATTGTAAAGTGTATAGCAGCTGTACACTTAAATAGTTCAGTCAGCCATGGTTCAATGGACGATCACCTACCCAAGAGTATCTGGGAAGCATAAATTGGTCTTGGAGGATTTGAAAAAGAAATAAAAAAAGAAACACAGATAGGTGAATGGAAAAAGAGGTGGGTCGGGGAATAGCTTGGGAGAGGACCTGAATATGACTGAAGTACGTTGTATGAAACTCTCAAAGAACTAATAAAATATCTGAAAAAAGAAATACCTAATAAAGAACTGCTATCTGAAACATACAAGAATCCTTGAAATGCAATGCCAAAATAAGGAACTACTCAATAAAAGTACATGCCAAAGTCTGTAAGGAACACCTTACTGAAGACATGAAGTAGCAAAGAAAAGATTCACACCATGAAAATGCAACAGAACAAAGGGAAAACACTGTTTTCTGTTGATGAAAGTCCAGTCTAGAGAGAGTATAAGACAGTCACTGTGTTTCCTGCTGGTGGAAAATCAAAATGGTGCCATTACCTGGACAAACAGAAGGGATTTTCTTAGAAAACTGTGGACACTATAGCTGTGGGACCTCACAGTCCCACTCTTGGCACTGACCCAATCAATTGAACACTTAGGTGTCAAGACACTTTGCAACATAAATTTGTATAAGCTTTATTCATAGTTACCCAAACTTGGGAATGACCCAGACAGAACTCCTTGGTTAAAAGATAGACTAGTTACATAAATATGCTAAATGCTATTTTAGATTAAAAATAAATGAATTATCAAAATGTGTCAGATACAAAGGAAAGCTAAATGCATATCACTGATTGAAACAAACGTGTCCAAAGTGGCTATGTGTTATGTAATTCTGATTTGATGGCAGTGTGTGAGAAAGGAAAATCTATGGAGACAATGGAAAGATGAGTGGTTTTTAGAGGTGAAGAAAAAGATTAAATGAAGAGAAGCCAGAGCACAGAGGGTTTTCAGGGCTGTCCGACTCTGCCATGTGGTGGTGCAATGCTGTGCACTTGACATTATCTGTCTTAGTTACTTTTCTGTTGCTAGAATAAAACACCACAACCATGGTCACATAAAAAAGGTATTTAACTTGGGGTTTACAATTTCAGAGTTAGAGTCTATGAGGGCAGAGCAACAGAGTGCTCACATCTGTATCTGCAAGCACAAGACAGAGAGGGTTGACTGGAAATGGGTTGGGCTCTTGAAGACTTTTCCAATAGGAGACACACCCTAATCCTCAGTTCCACCAACTGGACCAAATGTTTAAACATGTGAGCCTGGGGGGTGGGGCATTCTCAGTCAAACCACCACACTAACTATTTATCTAAAGCAACAGAATAAATAGATTGGGGTGGAGGCAATGGCATGCCAATATAGGTGTATCAATTGCAACAAATTCACTGCTGTGATGGGAGACTCCCTGATCCCGGCAGATGTGGGGGCTCTGTACCTACCAATTTTCTGAGAACCTAAATCTGCTCTGAAAAAGAAATCACATTTTTTTCAAACAGAAATAGCAGGTAGAAATGGGTGACAGCTACAGTTTGTGGATACAAGACAGTAAGTAAGTAGGAGACAACAAAGGCAGCACAGAAGATTCCAAGGGTAGAATACAGACACTGACAGGGCTGGGCTGCCTTCCTGGAGTTGAAATGGAGCACACAGGCAGAGAATACGGAAACAAGCATGGACATCAAGGTGGTCCCTGGGCTCCAGGACTCTTGCTTGTTTGGAACCCTGAGACCTCTTGGACTCTACTAGCATGGAAGAGTAGCATGAATTCAGGAGTGCAAGAGCAGCTTATGAAAACAACATCCTCTCAAGGCTGCAGTGCATGCCAGGAGTTTATCGATGTTCCACATTACACTGATGTAGACAATGCTCAAAGGAGGAAAAAATGACGTGCTATACACAAACATTCCCAATTATTAAAGGAAATGTCGCTAGAGATTTGGGGAAAATTTCCAGTGCCTTCCTTGTTCCTGTGCTGCATTCTTGCCACCGCTGGTAGGCTTGATGCTATCCGCTGCAATTTCAGAGTCTCACTAACTTACACGTGACTGGGAGAGGACAAGCCTTTCCCCTACATCAGAGTCCAGGAAACGTGATTTTACCAACAGAGGAAGTAAGGGTCAGTCGAATCCTGTATTAAAATGTGTTGTTCCTCTCTTGCCACAGTGAGATGGGTTATCAAGAAAGCTTGCTCCCTAGCAACTGGGGCTGCGTGGAATGTGCTTCTGTGAGCACTCCAGAATGCCTAGTCTCTCCGGAACCGTCCTGGAAAGCAGGTTGTTAGCGTCGGTTGTCAACACAACCTAGATCCACTCGGGACGAGAGACTCAGTGAGTGACAAAACCGGGTACAAATTGAGAGAGGGGCTGACGATAAGAGCAGAGGACACTGATGGCTGGAAGATCACCTGACCATCCTGGAATCCTGAGCCAAGTAAGCCTTGCCTCTCTGACCCTTCTGCTTCTTGGACCTATAGCGAGGACACCTTTCTTCTTAGACTGTTAGAGGGGTCCATATGGAGAAGTGTCTGCAGTCCACAGCAGCAGCACTCTGTAGAACTGATGCCCTCGACTTGAGTGTCTGTACCTGTCTGTTCCTGGCCACAATTGCCCCAAACTACATCTTAACTAATGTAAACCTTCTATGATTCCAGCACCTGAAAGTCCCCACCACCGTGTCCAGGCAGTGACTCCTTCATGCACTTTGCAATGTTGTTGCTAAACATTCATTGTGGATGAAGATAAAATTATCAGCTCATGTAGGATTGTAATCGTTTGAGTACATTTCATAAAGAAATGGCTATGTCACTTTCTTCCTGGGGGTTCTGGGAGACGGATCTCTCTCTCTTTCTATCTCTCTCTCTCTCTCTCATTTTCTTGGAGGAAAGAATTCAGTCAAGAGAACACAGAGACATTTATTTAGCAGAGCTGAGCAAACACTCTGAGGAGAGATTGGAGTCGGCTGCCCCAAAGTAGAGAACAACACAGTAAACACTACATTGTATGTTTTAAAGGCGTTTTTATGAATATTTATAAATAAAGTGAACTATTCCTGGTGTAAGGAAACCCTTAACCTACAAATTATGGTAGAACAGCTCTCCTTTGGAGGTTAATTTTTCCTATGATTCCCACAAAATGGGGAGGTGTAAAAAGCACAATTCAAGCGATATTATAAAGTCGATGTCAGCCCCTCTGAGGCTGTGGTGTATGTGGGTGGGAGATTTCCGCACTGCCTTAGGTTCTGGTATATGGAACAGTCTGTCTGTGGTCTCAAGGATGCTTTACAAAAAGACTCGACTGCAGTTTTCCTCTCTTCCTTGTATCTGTTTCCTTGTGTACTTGCTATCATTGAGAGCACGTTCCTTTCTCTTGAGGACAAAGGAATGTAAAGAGAATGGGAAATGAGAACAAAACAAGACTCATGTTTCCATAATTAAAAACCAGTCCTCTAGCACCAAGGCTTACATGGGATTGAGAGCAACTGAAGTCAGTCCTAAAGTATGATCATGGTCTCTTCTGAGCAACCCCTGACTCCTATGAGATTTGCCTTCAGTGAAAGTGACACATACTGAGTTAAGTGACCGCCCTTAGCTGAGGCATGAGATATACCAGTCCAGCTTCAGTTCTGGTCCTCTGGGGCATCCTGGTAGTTTATAGTCACCTATCTGCAGTGAGGGTATTCTACTAACTACTTTCAATCCTGGTGCTAGAAAGTCTAGCCCAGGGGAAGGAACGAGGCTGTTAACTAACGTTCTAAAGAAATCACAAGGCTGAAAACTTCAGTATCTCAACTCAGGTTGGAAAACTTACGAAAATATTTGGAGAACTTTGTGAGAAACCTCAATGATCATCCAGTTTTTTTGTGTGTGTGCTAGAGAGATGGCCCAACAAGTGGGAGGATGAGTAAGTTATTCAAACCAAGCTGATAGCACTTTATGATGAACGGATGAAGCATGGTTCCTTTTCATGTTTGCATTTGCAGCCGTCAAATGATGGGTTTCAGGAGCATGGAGTTTGCAAAACCTTTAGATGCTTATTCTCCAGTGTAAATATTCAGGAACTCATTTGCTACCAGGCCTTCTTTATTTCTCCATTGCTTCTGAGGACCTTCCATAGATGTTATGTCAAGGAGAAATGGCTGCTGGTCACCATATTCAATGACACCATGATGCCACACTTCTTGTCCAGGGTGTATTGCTTTGAGTAGGTCACAAGACATCTCTGGGACACAGTATTCTTACTGTAGAGATATCCTGGGTTAGCCCATGCTGATAGCTCCTCAGTGAGAAAGTATCCTGAGCTAGCCCATGCAGATAACACCTCAATGAGAAAGTACCCATTGTGTTTTTTACTGTGTGATGTTGCTGCCCTTTGCTAGAAACACAGCTCGTCACCTGGGGTATCAGAGGCACACTGAGTGTCTTCTATTCCAGAGACCAGGTACAAAAACATTTACTCCCTGAGATCAGCCGCCTCACATTACCATGACTATCCAAGCCCAGTGTATCACAGTTAGTGCGATGGCGTCTCCTTGATCTCCTCAGGCCCTTTAGCTCCCCGAGGCTTCACTTCCCATCTGACCATGGGAGATAAGAAGGCATCCCAGAGCTGCCTGTCACACGGAATAGATAATGTGTATAAATCCTGGGCACAGCAGCTAGCCCCTAGCACAAGCTCCAAAAATGGAAAAAAATTTCCATCCAGGTCCCAGGGGGTAGAAAGCAAGAAAATATAACAATAAAGGAAAAGGGTTTCAGGGGTTGGGTGGGGAGGGGGAGCCAAGATGGATTGCCATTCTTTAAATAAAACCAGGGAGTGAGGTGTGAGAAAACTGGAGAAATGCAGAGAGGAGGAGAGAGAGGAATAGCTACAGGCACTTGGAATGGTGCTGGAAGATTCTCACAACGAAAAGCTCCTTTTAAAATATTGGAGTTCTTCCATATGGGAAGCTTGGGGAGAGAGGAGAAAAAATTAAATTAAAGCATCCGAAAGTATATTATAGTTTTATCTCTTTGGCTCTGCGATTTCAGAAATAATATAATTCTATGGAATGCGCACTGCCAGAGGGTTTTGCAGAGTAGCGCCCGACAGAACGGGACCGAATGATGTCAAGGAAGCTTCTATAACAGTTTTGTTTTATTCATTTACATAAATCACATTTACCGTAGGTGTTTTATTCAAAATAAAGTTTGGGAAAAATAAATTGAACAGATGAACCTAGGCAAACCTGGTGATTTTTTTCACGAGTAGTGTTTGATGATAAAGGCATAAAAGCATAATGTGGTATCATTTCACTGAGGCACAATATGGATCACCCATATGGAGCAGAAGCCGATAACGCTGCAGAGAGGCAAAAATAAACAGAGCAGATGCACTTGCAAAATCAAGTCTGCACCCACCCCTGAATTACCTGCTCGGTGCTGGAGAAGTTTCTACAGAACTCAAAACTGGCTTTGAGTCACCTTCCCACGGGGACTCACAGGAAGCCAGAGACGAAGTCTTCTATGACCAGAGACAGGAAGAGGCCACTGAACTCCCAGGAAGTATCACGTGGCTCTCAAGGGAGGTAGAACCAGAGCCTGCTGGCTCCAAACTGCAAGCCACATGGAAGCCTCAGCCCTTGGTTCAGGAACACGGGTTCCAACTCCAGTTCTTCTTCTTGTTGCCAGGCAAGTTCCACCCTGGATCTGTAAGTTCTTCAAAGGCAAAGTCGTGGAGCAGCAAGGACTTAATGGGGATAATGAAAGTTGCAGCCAACAAAATACAAAGGAAGGATAGTGATATGCAGAGACAGCCCCTCAGAGGCAGGAGACTACCCACAGTGGCTTGTTGGGAGCCTGTCCAGAGTGCACAGAAGGAAGGTGTTACAGGGTACTCTCACTTTCACAAGGAGGTAAGGTGTTTGGGGAACCCAAGTGAAGTATTTAATAGAGATCTCATAGAGAATCCTAGCATGCCCAAGGTTAGGCCAGCCTTAGATGACTCATCAAATCAACAACAGCATACAAAACTTCACAGTTCTTCTCCATTCAATCACTTTGGACTCACGCTAGCCCTGTGGGGACCACGTGAGGGAGAAGTGACACTGAGTAGGCTGTCAGACCATGGTGAGCATGGAGGGTGCTTGGGTCAGCCAGGGCGGCAAACATTTTATTTAACACCACAAGGGTGGCTACTTCTACACGGCTGACATCTTTCCTATTTCAACAGCCAAGAGGCATGAAACATGTGCCTGGGGGTGCGGCTATCTAGAGAGCAGGTGAGACAGAAGCAGGCGTGGGTGGCAAATGATAATCAATTGCCTGTAATATACTAGGTTGGAGCTCTTTGCCAGCTGTGAAGTGCTGAGTGTGCTGGGCTGTGTTTTGGTCTTGTATCCAGTTTCACACCAGAGGAACATTTGGTGACTCCGGGAAGACCTAAGACCTCTCGGGGCGGGGGGATTTCAGAGCAGTGTTTGAAGGCTCCCTTTGGGGATGAGCTCCTCTGAGGCCTCCCTTTGCCTGACCTTCCGCCTTTCCAGAAAGGGAGCTGTCCCCACAACATGTGGAGAACCCATCAACTGCCCACATCACTGTACTTCCGTTCTTTGCGAACCCTGTAAAGGGTGTGTGGTGGTTCTCTTTCTTAGAGAAAGTATTAGATGCCTACTTCAGGAAAGAAGGAAGCGGATGTAAACTCAGCAACCCAGCAATGGGACTCGCAGGAGTTGGCGGCCAGGGGAAACCGGGAGCACACTCTGCCTTGCCCATAGTAAACCTGGTCACGTGGTCAACAGCTGGAGTACACCACCCATGGCCCCTGATGTCATCAAGTAGTCACCCATCTGCTCCGTTCCCAAAGCAGCCAGGGGGGAAAAAATAGTGTTCCACGTCCCACACACTCCAGCTGTCCCTGACATCCAGTGCTCGGTGATTTTTTTCTAAAAATAAAATGAAATAAAGTCATCACTTTTCCAATCAACATGAACACTTATTTAATCAAGAACTGGTTGGGACAGGAGCCATCGTCCCAAAGCTATGTGTAGGCTTGTCCGAAGTCACGACTTACTGGGAGTTCAGTGGCATTTCATACAGGGAGCTGCTGGCCTGAAGGGAAGGAAGTACAGTGCACATCTGTCTGAGCTGCACGCTCACCTGGACACTGGAGAGCTCCTAGTTGGACATCCGAGTCCCGAGTGGCCCCTGTGCGTGGGGACTGATCGTCACTTGTCTCCTGGCTCAGCTTATCTTGAGTCACACTCTGGGTTCTGTTACTTCTAATCTGATCCTCAAGCACCCCATCTAGAATGTGGACATATGTCAGTTTGCAAGAATAGAACAGACAGCTATTTGCAGACATGCAGCCTTTGGGTACACTGGCATCATCTCCAGCCAACTTCAGTTTAGAGGAAACACTTCCCCTTGGACTTCAAGTCGGAGAAAGAAATGACAA